GGAATCTTCCCCGGATGTGTACGGCCGTACGCGTGGAAGGAGAGAGAAAGAAGAGAGAGAAAGTGGGTTTTTGTGTTTGAATTTTTCTGATGAGGTGGAACACGCCCAAGTGGCATTAATACTAGTTTGGACTCACTGAAGGTGTCAAAAACGGACGCAGGAATCTTCCCCGGATGTGTACGGCCGTACGCGTGGAAGGAGAGAGAAAGAAGAGAGAGAAAGTGGGTTTTTGTGTTTGAATTTTTCTGATGAGGTGGAACACGCCCAAGTGGCATTAATACTAGTTTGGACTCACTGAGTGTCCAATTATCCGTTTCTGATCCCCACATTTCTTAAAAATTACATTTTGGCCCAGATTTTTAAAATTTTCACACTTAAGTCTTTAAAAATTACAAATTAACCCCATTTCAAATTTTGGGTTTTACAACTCCTTCCCCCTTAGGAGATTTCGTCCTTGAAATTAAAATTACATCTGTACTCAGAATAGATAAGGATACTTTTCCTGCATTTCTGACTCAAGCTCCCATGTGGCTTCTTCATCTCCGTGATATTGCCATAGAACCTTGACCAAGGGGATCTCACGGCGATGTAGTAACTTAACCTCACGTTCTAAAATTTGGATAGGGAACTCCTCATAAGTCGTGTCCACCTGGATCGGAACATCTGTCCACGTTATTATCCGAGATGGATCTGGTTCGTATTTCTGTAGCATCGACACGTGGAAGACGTTGTGAACATGGGACAGTTGAGGCGGCAGGTCTAGGCGGTATGCAACTGGTCCAATTCGCTCTAGTACTTGGAATGGTCCTGTGTACCTTAGTGCAAGCTTACCCCGAAATTCGAAACGAAAAACTCCGCGTTTTGGGGTCACTTTTAGGAACACAAAGTCCCCAATCTCGAACTCCAATGGTCATCTCCGGTTATCTGCATAACTCTTCTATCGACTCTGAGCGGTTTTGAGACGGTCACGAATAAATTGGACTCTTTTTGTTGTCTCCCGCACAAACTGAGGTCTAAGGTTAATGCGTTCTTCCTTCTCAGCCCAACACAAAGGAGATATGCAGGGCCTACCGTACAGAGCCTTAAATGGAGCCATTCCGATGCTGGCTTGGTAGTTGTTATTATAAGCGAATTCGGCATTTGGCAGGTATTCTCCCCATCTGCCCTCAAAATCCAGAACGCAAGCACGCAGCATATCTTCAAGGATTTGTATAACCCGCTCCGATTGGCCGTCAGTCTGAGGGTGGAAAGCGGTGCTGAATCTCAACTCAGTCCCCAGAGCATTTTGTAACCCTTTCCAAAACTTGGATGTAAATCGAGCGTCACGATCTGAGACTATCGATACCGGAACACCGTGCAACGTGACTATCCTCTCGATGTATAGTCGGCACAACTTGGGAACTTTATAGTCAGCTCTGATGGGGATGAAATGTGCAGTCTTTGTCAGACGATCTACGACAACCCCTACAGCATCATACCCTTCCTGGGTCCTAGGTAATCCTGTGACGAAATCCATCGTTACGTGGTCCCACTTCCAATCAGGGATAGGTAAGGGCTGTAGCTCGCCACCAGGTCTCTGATGATCCGCTTTGACCTGTTTACATATCGAGCACTTGGCTACAAAATTCACAACATCACGCTTCATTCCACGCCACCAATACTGCCTCTTCAAATCCATATACATTTTCGTGCTCCGGGGTGGATGGAGAACTTGGAACGATGAGCTTCATACAACACAGCATCCCGGAGATCAGAATCATTCGGAACCACCAGCTTTCCTTTCCGAAGGAGGAATCCCTCTGGACTTATCTGCCATCCTTCAATCTGTTCCCCACTCTGAAACTGATTCCAAACTTCACTAAGCTCCTCATCATGCCATTGTCCTTGCTTCACCAACTGTTTCAAGGTAGGAGTTGCCACAATGTTGAAGATGCAGGCCTTGTTACTATCCTCGTAGCACTGCAAATCAAAACTCCCAACAGTAGCCAACCTGTTCCAGTCTTCGAAGGCTAAGCTGGCCAAAACTCCATGGCTTTTCCGGCTCAGGGCATCCGCTACCACATTAGCTTTCCCGGGGTGATA